AAGGGGTGTTGCCGCTGAGTATCAAATGGTTTACATTAGCCCATGATATCCATGCACTTCACTTAAAGTTTGAATAACATTTAGTTGATCATCTTCCTCTGTCGTGCATGTAGGTGCCCACTTCTGGCCTTGTGGAACCAGTTGTTTGGTGTCTCTGGATCCACAAAGAATTGGCTTCGAAATATCTTGATATTAGGCTCTCGATAGTTCCTCGGAGTAAAGCGTAATCATGGTCTTTGAGGTTGTCTTATTGTTGCTGTTTATTACAAGGGCGTTTGTTGTTATTATAGACATGTGACTAAACCGTCTATCTCGGTTGACGGCGGTGTAAGTGCCCTAAAGCGAAGAATGCCGTCTCTTGGCCAAACAGTATTTCTAGCGCCGTATTAAGTCCGTTAAAACCATGCTGATTTCAGAGTAACCAAACTATAATTACAGCCGTGATTAGTCCGCTCATCGGCAGTGGAAGATAAGACTAGAGAGGATATTTGAATAATATTAAGGTTTAAATATTAATCCCGTTCTAGTGTTTTAGATTATTCAACACTTATTTACAATGGGCTGAGGACTTCCAATTATTTTCGACAACGTAACTATGTAAATAAAGAAAAACATTTATCAGTTAAATATAAAAAAAATATATATATTTTACAAAATACACATAACAAAAGTATTTATAGTTCGAGAAAGAAATAAAAGTACACCAGAAATCCGTGACTAGGCGATTTTCATGGGAAACTGTAACATTACTCCAAGGTCTCCATTCCTAATATTGGCATGCACGTGGCTCTTGTCATATAAGCTCCGAAACACTATTCGAACAATGTATGAAGCTTCATCTGTCCCGAGCTCTGAAAACATTTCCGAATCAAATCCTAACGATCGTTTCAGTTTCATCTACACCCGAGTAAAGATACTTTTTTTTAGCGACTGTACAAATATATACACACATATATATATGTATGTACATATATATGTATATATATGGGTATACATGCGTGCATATATGTATATGCATATATGTATTCATTTTATCTATATAGATGAAGAGATAAAAAATAACTGACATTTAATAGTTCACGTAATCTTTCTTCTTTTTAAATAAAGATACAAAAAACGTCTTTAAAGGAGACAATCATCACCCTATCGACAGTTACTAAGATGGTTTCTCAAGGGCTAGAAAATCATTCCCACGGTGAAAGGGCCTACTGCAGAACGTACGTACGAACACACATCGCACACAGTATATAAGGGGGAGTGTCAACCACTAACCATCATACGCTCACTAACCATGTCTCTCAAGGTATGAAATCCTCCTGTATATCGAAAGGAAGTCTATAACATGCGAAAGTATTTGAGATTAATAAGTGAATGTGAAAGTGGTGCGGGGAAGATTCATTGAATAACGATATTAGTGTTTAGATTTGCTTCAAATGATATATATTTAAATTACACACATACATGCATACACACACATGCATTTATGTATGCATATGTATAAATATACGTATGTATGCATATATATGTGTGTATGTGTAAGTATGTATATATACATGTGTGAATACGTATATGTATATATACATGTGCGTATACGTTTACGTATATATACATGTGTGTATATAAAGATAAATATATATACGTATATATATTCATATATGCTTATACATATATACAAACGTATAAATTTGTGAATATATTCTTTGTACATACACCATTCATCGATGGACAGTGATTTCATATTTTGACTTTTTCTATTTGTTCCTTCACCTAAGAAACACCTCGTCGCATTATGCACAAATAATCTTCCTTTCCTTCTTCGTTAGCAACTGTAGATAACGTGATGCTTTTTCGGCAGGTCGTCGTCCTCGCCTGCGTGGCTGTTGTTGCTCTGTGCGACAAGGCCCCAGTCTACGCCCCTCCTCCCCCCGCCTACGCCCCTGCACCTTACCACGCCCCCGAACCATCTTACCACGCCCCCGAACCCGCCTACCACGCCCCTGCACACTACGAGCCCGAATACCCTGATGTAAGCATATACAAAATCAAAATAGTTTTTTTTCAAGTCATCACTGATGACTTTGTTACTGAGGCCTATATCAATCCAGTCATCATTACACTGCGTTGCTACATTTTTACTGATCCCCTGAAAATATGAAGTTCCATGGATATTTATTGAGAAACATTTCTGATTCCCTTGTCATTTGTCCAGGTGCCCCCCAAGTACAACTACAACTACGGTGTCGCCGACGGATACTCCGGCGCCAACTTCGGCCACACTGAGTCCCGCGACGGCTACAAGACCGAGGGCAGCTACACCGTCGACCTCCCCGACGGCCGCAAGCAGATCGTCACATATGTAGACAACGGTGACGGTCTTATTGCTGAGGTCACCTACGAGGGCGAGGCTCAGTACCCCGAGCACACCCCCTCCTACAAGCCTGCTCCCCCCGCCTACGGCCCCCCTCCCCCCACCTATGCCTAAGATGTCTTAGAGTGATAGAGATATATTAATCAAATTGTATTTATTTTTTATACAAGAAATAAAAACTTCAGTTTGAAAAAAAAGGAAATTTTATTCATACGTCCATATGAAACCGAACCATACACTAATTATTTACAATAACAATAACAACTAACTTCTCGCATTTCTGGAATATGAATTAGACAACAGATATCAAGACTGAAATACAAATAAATTAATCATATAAACAGATAGTTGAAAGAAGACTGTGGAAGATGGTATTCATGAAGGAATAAAAGTAGATACAAAATTTATATGAGAAAATAAAACGCACACAATGATCAAATAAACATATGATACAGAAAAAAATAGCAAGTACACTCACTAAAAATATATATATTTACTCTATCTGACTAAACAATAAGATACGACGAAAGCGAATGGAAATAGTGCTGTGAGCTCGACCTGATATTGGTATCCTTGAGAGGGGCGTCAGTTAGAAGGGGGCAGGGGGGGGATTTGTCACCTCCTTTATTTTTACTTTTTTTATTAATTACACCTATTTAGATCTGGTTATAGCTTAAAATACCCTTAGCATATTTTCTTTTTCTTTTTTTTCTTTTTTTCTTTTTTTTTGTTCCTTTGGCTACATTTAAAAAATTGGGGTTTCAAGATACATAATACTATTAACATTCGTATTGCCGCCACCAACTTGGAGAACGCTGGTAAGAATAGATGACATGAATGCGCCTTCTAGTAGTTATGGATTGTTAAAAAAATAGAATAATAGAGTAAATAACTATGAAGAAAATGGCTCACAGTATGGTAACAATCAACCTACCATGCCCCCTTTTCGAACCCAGTAAGGGGTGTTGACAGTGAGTATGGAATGGTTTTCATTAACTCATGATATTCATGCACTCCAGTACAAGCTTCATATTTGTCTTTCACAGAGCACATTGAATTGTAGTTTTGAATGGCATTTATTTGATCATCTTCCTCCGTCATGCCCATAGGGTGCCCACTTCTGGTCTTGTCTCTCGTGGATCCAGTTGCCAGGCGTCGCTGGATCCACAATCGACACGGTTGGCTTCGAAATAACTAATCTCGATGTTTCGGAACTTGATAGTCCCTCAGATTAATCCCTCATTACATATGACGCTGCTTATGGTCAAAGAGGTCTCCATTGCTAATATTGGCATGACACGAGGAACTTATCACATTAACTCTGAAACACTATTCGAACACATTATGAAGCTTCATCTGTCCCGAGCTTTGAAAACAAAGTACCAACATATCAGAATCAGCCAGTGATCGTTTCAGTTTCATCTCCTCCCGAGTAAAGATACCTTTTTACCGAATGTACACATCAATTGGGGAAAAAAAGCTAATTTAAGGTAACCATCTAATGGGTGGATGGTTGTTCACACGGTAAATAAGGGGGTTGAAGTAGTACCACTGGTTCCATGTTAAAGATTTAGAGAGCCTCAGCTATGGTCAGGTCTGGATGGGATGGCAAGATTTGGAATTCAGTGGAATGGATAGTTGTGAAATTTGACCCACGAAGAAAAGATGTTGCAGGCTCAGTTCATTAGCGTTTTCACTTAATTAATTTTGCAAATATGAGGAATGGAGCTCAATAAATAAAGTCCGAGGCCAGTGAATGTTAATTTCCTATAGGTAGTGGTAGATAAACAACTACCGGAAACACGCACACATACACACACACATATATACACATAGGTATGTGTATACATACATATATATATATATATATATATATATATATATATATATATATATATATACATATATTCATATATATGTGTGTGTATGTATGCATATATATTTATATATATATATATATATATATATATGTGTGTGTGTGTGTGTGTGTGTGTGTGTGTGTGTGTTTGTGTGTGTGTTTGTTGCTGCACATATACGAGTGTGTTTGTTCATGGAATTATGTATACGCTTTTACATGTTCTTTTTGCATATAGATAAAGAGATAAAACTCACTGATTTATATTAGTTCACGTAGTTATCTCCATCTGTTTCTGAAGTAAACACCTTTTTATATGCTGTGAAATAAACACCTGTTTATATGCTGACATAAATCCTCATGCAACATAATATATGATTTATACGATATTGGAAAAATAGAAAATTTCCACAGCAAGACAATTACTTACAAATAATATCAATAGTTATAAATAGATTTTAACTTATACTTAGCTTAAAATATATCTGATAAAAAAAAATAAAAAATAAACAAATAAATGTAAAACTAAAGATAAAGATAAAAAAGGAAACAAAAGTAAACAAATACATTTGCGTATATATAAAAATAAGGATAAAATATAAACGTCTTTAGAAGAAACACTCATTATCCTATAAATAATAAGTAAAATGGTATTTCAAGGGCTGGAAAATTATATCCATGGTGAAAGGGCCTTCAGCAGAACGTACGTACGAACACACATCGCACACAGTATATAAAGGGAAGCGTCGACCACTAACCATCATACGCTCACTAACCATGTCTCTCAAGGTACGAAATCCCTTTGTATATCGGAACGAAGTCTTTAACATGCGAAAGTATTTGTGGTGTTGACATTAATCGGTGAATGTGAAAGTGGAGGAAATTTTTGAATGACGAGAATAGTGTCTACATTTGCTTTAAATTACATAGATTTAGATACGTACACGCATACATATATGTATGCATGTATGTATATACAAATATGTGTGCATGTATACATATATATATATATATATATATATATATATATATATATATATATATGTATGTATATGTGTATATATACATGTATATATATATATATATGTGTGTACGTTTACATATATGTGTGTATATATACGCATGTATGTATATACACATACATATATATTTATATACACACTATTCTTTACATATAACTAGATATACATACAAACATATACTTTTATGCATACACCGTTCATCGAAGGACAGTGAATGAATTCTTTTTTTTTGTTCCTGTACCTAATGAACAGATCGTACCATTATGCACAGATAATCTTCCTTTCCTTCTTCGTTAGTAGAAAGATAACGTCATACTCTGTCGCAGGTCGTCGTCCTCGCCTGCGTGGCTGTCGTCGCTCTGTGCGACAAGGCTCCAGTCTACGCCCCTCCTCCTCCCGCCTACTCCCCTGCACCTTACCACGCCCCCGAACCCGCCTACCACGCCCCTGCTCACTACGAGCCCGAATACCCTGATGTATGTATCTATACAACCAGACTATTTTTTTTTTCAACCATCATTGATGACATACTAAATTGATTCAGTGGAGAGATCCATGGATACTCACTGCCAAGCATATTTCATTCCCTTGTCATCTGTCCAGGTGCCACCAAAGTACAACTACAACTACGGTGTCGCCGACGGATACTCCGGCGCCAACTTCGGCCACACTGAGTCCCGCGACGGCTACAAGACCGAGGGCAGCTACACCGTGGACCTCCCCGACGGCCGCAAGCAGATCGTCACATATGTAGACAACGGCGACGGTCTTGTAGCTGAGGTCACCTACGAGGGCGAGGCTCAGTATCCCGAGCACACCCCCTCCTACAAGCCTGCTCCCCCCGCCTACGGCCCCCCTCCCCCCACCTATGCCTAAGATGTCTTAGTGTCAGAGATATATTCATCAAATTGTATTTATTTTCACATAAGAAATAAAAACTAGTTTGAAAAAAATATGCTATTTTTTCCTACTTCCAATGAAAACTATATACAATGAAGATTCAGAAATTGATTAGAATAGATTAAAAAACTCATTTCTCGTATTCAATCAATATGAATTATACAAAAGAAATCAATACTGAAATACAAGTAAATTAGTCTCATAGACATTGACAGTGGAAGATGTGCATTCGTGAGCACATAATAACATTCACATATATGTATATTTGTGTGTGTGTACATCGTTTTTCTTACATTTTTTAGAGTGAAAGAAATTTTTCACAGTCCTGTATATGCGCAGGATACTCTTGCTATAGAAGTTAGAAGTGTCCTGTGTGAAACAGATTCTGACCAGGGAAAGGAAAACCTTTACTTCTGAGAAATTTTTTACCGTTTCAGACGTTTCGGAGACGCAATGGCCATCATCAGTGTTAAAAGTAGATACAAAATTTATATAGAAAAACACACTTACAAGTATTAAGGAAACATACAGAAAAAAGAAGAGGAACTTATCTATTGTAAAAAAGGTTACTTTAAGGTAACTAACAATAAAACGGATGGATGGTTGTTCACATGGTAAATAGGGTAGATAAGGTGGTTGTGCCATTGAGCTCTGGTTTCATGTTAACGATGTGGAGAGCTTGGGCTATGGGCATGTCAAATCTGGGGGGCAAGGTCTGGAATACATATATATATGTATATATATATACACATATATATATGTACATATATATACACACATATATGTGTATACATATATGTATGTATATATATATATACCTATATATGTATATATATATATATATATATATGTATGTATGTATGCACACATATATGTATATATATGTGTGTATGTGTGTGCCCATGCGAATCTGTATTCATCCATTTTTGTACATACATATATGTTTGTATATAGATGCAGATAAAATTAATTGACACGTAGTTATAGAGTTATCAATTAATAGATGATATATATATTGATAATAAAAAGAAAAATCTCCAGCAAAGTTATCACTTACAAATAAAACCATAGTTATACACAGATTTTAACTTCAAATACAATTGTTTAAAACGAAACAAAAATGAAAAAATTGAAAAATGCATAAATAAAAATAAAGTTAAAAAACAAACATCTTCATAGCAGAAGCTCATTATCCTACTGACAATTACTAAGAAGGTATTTCAAATGTAACCAACCATATAAAAGGTTGACATGGTAAATTATGTGCTTAAAGTGGTTGTACCAGTGAGCTCTGGTTTCAATGTTAACAAAGTGGAGAGCTTCGGCTATGGTAAGATCAAATCTATCAGGATGGGATGCAAGACTTTCAATTCAGTAAAGTTTAATAAGTGGTTGTGAAAATTGGCCCACGTAGAACAGATATTATTAGCTCAGTTAATTAGTGTTTTCAGATTCTTAATTTTGTAAATTTGAAGTATGTAGATAAGGAAATGAAGCCCGAGGATAGTGAATGTTGGTTTCCTGTAGGTGTTGACAGATAAACAGCCTACGGGAAACACACACACACATATATATATATATATACATTATATACATATATATACATTCTTATGTATGTGTGTATATATATATATATATACACAAATACATACATATATATGTATATATAAGGAAATATATAAATGCATATATATATATATATATCTATGTGTATATATATGCAAATATATGAATACATATATATGCATATATATACATATACATGTATATATATATATGTATGTATACATATATATGTGTATGTATATTTGTGCGTTGTGTACATATACGAGCGTGTGCGTTCATACATTTATGTATATATATGTATATAGTCATTTTGTATAAAGATCCAGAGATAAAATTAGTTGATATTTATTAGCTCACGTGATTATCGTAATTTTCTGAAGCAAATAAACACTCATTTATGCTGACATAATCCCTTAAGTGAGATCATATATGATATATACAATATTGGTAATATAAAGAGAAATCCACAGCAAGTTTATCACTTACAAATGAAACCATACTTATAAAGTAAATTTTAACTTCAAATACAATTGCTTAAAAATAAAACGTCTTTATAAGAGACACTCATTATCCTATTGACAATTCCTAAGATAGTATTTCAAGGGCTAGAAATTTATTCCCACGGTGAAAGGGCCTACAGCAGAACCTACGTACGAACACACATCGCACACAGTATATAAGGGGAAGTGTCAACCACTAACCATCATACACTCACAAACTATGTCTTTCAAGGTACGAAATCCTGCTGTATATAGAAGTTTTTAACATGCGAAAGTATTTGCGGTGTTGACATTAATCAGTGAATGTGAAAGTGGCGCGGGGAAAATTCAGTAGTGTTTAGATTTGCTTTAAGTGATATACATTTAGATACGCACACACATACACACGGACGTGTGTGTGTGTGTGTGTGTATGCACATATTTATGTATGTATGTATAGATACATATGTATATGTATGTATAGATATATATATATATGTATGTATAGATACATATGTATATGTGTGAATGCTTACATATAATTATGCATATATTATTGTATAGATACACCGTTCATCGATGGACAGTAAATTCGTTGATACTTTTTTCCATTTGTTCCTTCACCTAAGAAATACCTCGTCGCTTTATGTACTGGTAATCTTCCTTTCTTTCTTCGTTAGTAACTGTAGATAACGTGATGCTTTTTCGGCAGGTCGTCGTCCTCGCCTGCGTGGCTGTCGTTGCTCTGTGCGACAAGGCCCCAGTCTACGCCCCTCCTCCCCCCGCCTACGCCCCTGCACCTTACCACGCCCCCGAACCCGCCTACCACGCTCCCGAACCCGCCTACCACGCCCCTGCACACTACGAGCCCGAATACCCTGATGTAAGTATTTATACAATCATTTTTTTTTTTCAATCATTGAAGACAGTGTTATTGAGGCCTGCATCAACCCAGTCATTATTACACTGCGTTGCTGCATTTTAGTTCACTTATACTATACTCATGCCAAGAAAATAAAAAGTTCCATGGATGCTGAAAAATATTTTTCATTCCACTGTCATTTGTCCAGGTGCCACCCAAGTACAACTACAACTACGGTGTCGCCGACGGTTACTCCGGCGCCAACTTCGGCCACACTGAGTCCCGCGACGGCTACAAGACCGAGGGCAGCTACACCGTCGACCTCCCCGACGGCCGCAAGCAGATCGTCAACTACGTGGACAGCGGCGACGGTCTTGTAGCTGAGGTCACCTACGAGGGCGAGGCTCAGTACCCCGAGCACACACCCTCCTACAAGCCCGCTCCCCCGCCTACGGCCCCCCTCCCCCCACCTATGCCTAAGATGTTTTAATGTGCCAAGAGATATATGATGAAATTGTATTTATTTTTATACAAGAAATAAAGACCAATTTAAAAATATATGTATTCTATTTTTTCCATACTCCCAAATGAAAACGAAACACACAATAAAGATTCAGAAATTGATTAGAATATTCATTTCTAGGATTTAGTCAATATCAGTTATACAATAGATATCAAGACTGAAATACATGTAAATAAGTCTCATTCATATTAACAGAAAGAGTTGACAGAAATCAATGGAAATGTGCATTCGTGAAGGAATTAGAAACCAAACGTTCACCCCACGATTATCATGACGAGCGTCGACTGCGGTTTTCTTTAAAAGACTGCAACCGTCGACAGGCAGTCCAAAGGACTCAGTAACGGACTCTCACACTCAGAGGAGATGGGAAAGAATATCTTAAAAAAGGAAAGCCATCAGAACCACCCATTACAATATATGATATATATGATATCCACATACCTACACATGCACACACGATCACACGTAAAAGTGTGTATGTCTCTATATATGTGTATATGTATATATGTATAATTATACACATATTCGTATATATGCATATATATACATATACATACATACATATGCATATATATATATGCACGTATATGTATACATATATTTACATACATATAAGTATATATACTATAAATCTATAAGAACACACACATACACACACAAACATATATATATGTGTGTGTGTGCGCGCGTGCGCGCGTGTGTGTGTGTGTGCGCATGCATATATATGTGTGTGTACATATATTTTTTTCCAATTTCTTAGAGTCAATGGAATTCTCAATCCTTCTGTACATGCCCAGAATAGTTTTACCCTATCTTCAAATATTGTAAGTTATAGAGTCATCCTGTGTAAAAATGATTCTAGTCAGGAAAAGGAAAACGATTACTGCTAAGAAAAAAAAAACTTTGTTGCAGGCTTTTCGGAGATGCAATCGCCATGTAAGGTAACCAACCATATAACAGGTGGACATATTAAATAGTGTGGTCAAAGTGGTTGTACCAATGAGCTCGTTTCATGTTAACAAAGTGGAGAGCTTTGGCTATGGTCAGGTCAAATCTATGAGGATGGGAGGGCTTGGAATTCTAAATGCGTTCATGCATTTATATATATAAATGTGTATATATATATATATATATAAATGTGTATATATGTATATATATAAATGTGTATATATGTATATATATAAATGTGTATATATGTATATATATATATAAATGTGTATATATGTATATATATAAATGTGTATATATGTATATATATATATAAATGTGTATATATATATATATATATATATATATAAATATGTACATATGTATATATATATATATATACATCTATATATATATTTCTTTTGTATATAGATACAGAGATAAAATTAGATATTCATTTGCTCACATAATTATCGTAATTTTCTGAAGCAGATAAACACTCATTAATGCTGACATATTCCTTTAATGGAGATCATATATGGCATATACAATATTGGTAATATAAAGAGAAATCCACAGCAAGATTATCACTTACAAATGAAACCATAGTTTAAAGTAG